AATTTTACCCCATAGGAGACATTTGGCAACATCTGGAGACATTATTAGTTGCCACCACTTGGGATGGAGTTGCTCCTGGCATCTACGGGGTGCCGCTAAAACCTCCCTCCAATGCCCAGGACAGTCCTTCATAATGGAGACTCATTTGGTCCAAAATGTCAGTAGTGCTGCTACTGAGAAACCTTGAGAAAACCAATCAATCAAAAAGTATGAGCTTTCAATACTCCCAAGATTTCTATAGTAACAGTAGCAATTAATAATTGAAATGATTATTACTTATTAAATACCTGCTACTTGCCAGCCTCTTTGTAAAGAATTCCTAGCTACTGAGTCAGGATCTGACCCCAGGTTTGTTCGGGGACATTGTCTGTATTCTCCTTCCTTAGCATTTTTGTATGTGTGCATTTTCCCTGGACATGATCGTGTGTACCCTCTGCTGATTGTGTTTTCTATAGATCAAGTTAGGTGTTGAGTGCATCCTAGGTAATACACTCACAGGAGAAAGCCACGGGCAAGAAGAGACCGGTGTGTCGCTATGGGTGGTGAAGCTAAAACATCCAGACAAACAGGCCTCAGATCTATAACTTACTAGATGAGTCTAATGCCTATGTAGGATGGTAGCGTATTAAGTACCTACTAAAGTAGCCTTTAGTAGGTACTTAATAAATATTTGTTGGGAAATTTTTTCATAATCAACAAAGTCCTTGGTAAGCTTCAAATGGAGCAGGGTTTTCAAATGTCCTATTCTGTTATATAACATTGAGTTCCTCCTAAAAACAGCACCTGGTATTTCCAGAAGTTCAGAGGTGCCTCACCTTGTGTATTTCCACTTGCTCTTGACAGCTTTCTCTTCTTTGTTTTTTACTGTTCCATTCTTAGTCAGTCTGGCCTGGCAAAGGCTCACCCCTTGCTCCTCCCTCTCTGCACACTATATTCCCTGGCCCCCCATCTACTCAAGGCTCTCCCAGTATTCCCTGAATTTTGCTCCTGTCAACAGCTTGCAAGATGGGGGCAGGGCATGTGTCAGAGGAAGCATGTGCCATGTGAGAAAGCTTATTTGAGAACATGATTTTGTATTTGGAAACAAGCAGGAAAAAATCACAACCATCATCATTGTAAAACCGAGAACTGAAAGAAAAGCTTGGGAGAAACCGTCTTGCCTGGCAATAATATGGCAATGATCATATCTACAGTGGGCGTGACCGTTGTATATTTATGAAAAGGGGCTCAAAGGAAAAGTGCTGAGAAGCACGACAGTGTGTGCTTTCTTTTCCTGTGTCCATGTCTTTGCTAGTAGTATCCTCCTCCTCTCAGCACTCGGATTTCTTGGAACGTGCCGTTTGCCTGCCGTACAGCATCAGTCACTCCAGTCTGCTCCCATAATGCTTTATTTTTAACTTCTAATATGTCACCCATCATCCTTTACCTTGATCATACTAAGCTCTGATGTAGTGAATGCTTCTGAAAGAGAATCACAAGAGCTCCTTGACCCCAAGGAGCCAGTCAGAGACCTTAGTTTGTGCCCCTCAAACTGCAATGTGCCAGGAGTCAGAATGGATTCTAGGACGTCACCCTTAGAGATTCTGAATCTTTTGATTCAGAATCATGACCACTCTCTTCTTGCCATCTGTTGTTTCCCTCCTAGTAAGTCCAGGCCCATCCTAGTCAAAGTAGTAGTTGATAAGGACTTTAAGGGATGTGTTTGGAGGGTGCAGAGAAGAAGAGTGAGGGGAAAGGAGGTTTGCATTTTATTAGGGAATTTCAATTCCTTGGTATTTCAAATCACTAGAGGAGAAACAGGGTTTCTTTTACTGGATTTCTGTTGTGTGTCCAGCACTTGATAAGCCAATGAGGTAAGTGTAATTATTCCCATTTTACAGAGGAGGAGGCTGAGGTTCATGTTATGTTACTCTTCATAGCAGGAAATAAGTGGACCCAGGATTAGAACTCAGGACTAGCTCTAAAGACCACATTCATTCTCCTCCACCTGGATGCCTCTGTCATCTGGTCTGGAACATCCTAGTACGTGCCTTGTTTGGAGTTAAAGACTGTTCTTTGAGTTGTCCCTAAGAGTGCTGAAATTGTTCCATCACCTTCTTAACCTTCCTGGGAGTGAGTAAAAGACAACTGGGTCACTTTAGAAAGAATGCTGACATTTAGAGTATCTAGATCCAAAGAAAACACAGATGCTGACTGGTGAGCTACCTTCCTGCTAGTAAAGCAGATTTCAGTTTATGTTGTCGACATACCTTGTTTCTATTTGGCCCCAACCACATGTTGGAATCTGGAACCAAATATACTGTAAAACATTATTGATGACCTGTTGCTAGTCAAATCCGATGTCTTTTTCTCAAGCCTTTGTTCCTTAACAATAAATTCTCATATATATATATATATTTTTCAGATATATTTGATGTGCAAGATTATTCATTTTCTATATTTGATGTGGTGATTATTAATAGTTGAAGAAATTCAGGTGCATGGAGGGGAAAAATTGGCCTGCCATGTACTTGACCCTTGTATTATTACTTGGTATCCAATTTGAAGAGCTCAGGCTAGGTCCACCTGCTGGGGTCAGCTGACTGTGGAGCCCACAAGCAGTACCTACCACATCATGGGAAGTCTAGGAATCCGGAGCCCTTGCTGGAGGGACCTTCTCAAAACTTCCTCTGGCCTCCATGCCTTTAAACCTCCCCACTCTTCTACTTCTCCAACCTTCGCTCTTCTTCCTCCTCCTTTCCCTAATTTTTTTGTCCTGGGCCTTCTCCAAGTAAACCGACCTTCATAGCTTCATTTCTATTTTTCGCTACATGTCTGTTCTCCACTTCTCACCCAGGTTCTTGTTCCTTCTTTCCTCTTGCCCAGAGGACAGTAAAGTCTGTCAGCAACTTCCTCAAACCAGTTCCCCCTCTTCACTCAGCTTCTCCCAGCATTGGTCCCATGACACATACTTACAGGAATGGTCCATTCTGCCTATGACCCAGGTTCCAAACTGGCTTGACTTGATTACCTTGTTCGTCCTCCTAGCTAAGTCACTGGGAAAAGTAAAATCTTGCCTCAAAGAGTTGGTATCTTTACTGTATTTGGTATCTTCAAAGATTTGGTATTTGTATGGTCTCTCGCTCTTTCTTTCCCATCTCCTTTGCCTGGACTTCACATGTCATTGCTTCCTGAGACTGTTTCCCAGATCAGCTCCCTACCTCACAAGGCTATTGAAGGGTTGATTGAAATAATAATAGCAAGTATACATTCAGCACTTACATGCATTATGCTAAGTATTTTATTTGTTACTTCATTCCATCCTTACAGCCACCTTGCCATGGCTATTTCCAGCACCTTGCAAATGAAACAGAAGTTTAGAAAAGTTAGGTGACTTGCCCAAGGTCACACAGTGAGTGAGTGGGTGAGCTGTCACTCAACCCATACCTGTTTTGTTCCAGTGGATGCTTGCTTGTAACTATTAAATTTTGCTGCCTCCTAGGATATAGTGTGTTATCTAATGGGGGCAATTAATAAATGTTGGTTTCCTTCCTTCTTTCCCTCCTTTTTCTATCCATTATCTTTTCCCCACTCTAGACTAATTTCCTACAAATGCTACCTGCATCTGAGCCCCACCACCCTTCAAGGCTCCCCTTTCTTCTGCACAGAGTCAGTCCTTTACTCCACATTTTTCAGGCACCACCAGCGCTTTCCTGTTTTCTGGTTGCATATCTTTTCTACTTAAATCCTAGAAAGGCTGGTTAGCTGCTGTTTCTTTTGTTTCTTTTATGTATTATCAAGTCCTAGGGTAGCTGACTTTAAATGGAATTAGGTATTTGGTAAATGACTGTTAAATTACTGCCTTTGGGTTTTATCTTGAGAGCCGAGGTTACTGAGCCATCAGAGGAATCAGAAGAATAGACTGGAATCAGGATACACAATCCACCAGAATTGACAAGAAGGGTACAACCGCTGGCGGACTACTTGGGGAATTGCCCCAGTCCAGGCAGGAATCCCAGAAGAAACCCTGATCTCGTGAGAAGGCAAAGAGAGGAGAGGAGCACAAGATAAGAGGTGTGGTATGCACTGACTCCTGGTAACGTCTTCCACAGCAACTATTCTATTCCCTGGTCTGTCCACCTGGCAGCAGCAGAGCAGGCCTCTGAAAGCTAGGGAGAAATGTTATGGTTGCATGGTTCCAGGTCCCCAGATCAAGGCTCCAGAGGTCTGCCCAGTATAATTGCATATAATGGGATGGGTGAGTAGTGTTTCTTAATACAGCCCGATTTAAGAGGTGGGGCGGAATCGGCAACATTTTTCCAGAGTCACTTTCTGTGCTTCCACCAGGGCAGATAACAGCCTGTGGGGTTGTGACCACAGGATGTACGGTTCTGCCAACACATTTACTACCTAAGGCTATAAGACCTGTTTGGGCCCTTCTGCTTGTCAACAGAGTCGAACGTAGCAGCTCAGCGCCCAATCCCAGTGTGTGATAGACGTACCAGGGCCTGAGGAATGCAAAGAGCAGTGTAGCCGCTTTTCACCTGGAAATTCCACTTAAGAAGAAAAGATCCGAAACATAACCTAATCTGGACTTTGAGGGCAGACCGAGAAACCGATTTCTGCCCGAGTTGGCCCGGTGGGAAGGAAGAGAAACTCAAAGGAGGGAGAGTCTGTTGAGTCTGACGTTAATTAAGCCGCGGCAGGGAAGCAAACGGCGGAGGCTGTCGCCCTCCTAAACTCTCAGGGAGACACGTCAGCCGGAGCTCGGGGCAATTTCAGCGGGCGACGTCCCGGCCCGGGAGGGGTGGCGGGCGGCTGCAGGCGGGCTCTAGGGCCCAGCGGCCCGGCGCTGGGACGGGGGTGGAGTGTAGGGTTACAGTGACGAGCCCGACGACCCTCCCCGGCCCGAGCGCGGGGAGCGGGGAGCCCGGGGCGGGGAGTGCGGGCGGCGGCGGGGCGCGCGGGACGCTCTAGGACCCAGCAGCGGCGGACGGCTTCGGGGCTGGAGGTGAAGCCCTGGCATTTCTCTCTTTCCTGTGTGAATGGGGCTGACTGTCGGGCGCCGCTTCCCCGCGCTGCCCCACGCCATGCCCTGCACGCTGCCCGGCGGCCGCCTTCCCCAGCCGCGCCACTGAGCTAGCCATGGTCGCCTCATGTGGCGGGCAAAGTTGCGCCGGGGAACTTGTGAGTCTGCGGTGAAAGGTAACCAGTCCCCGCTCAGGGTGCGGGGAGGGCGCCTCCGAGTCTCCCACGCGGGGGACCCAGCCGATCGCTGCTCCTCCACCCCTTGCTGCTCCCGGCACGGAGCTCCTCCTCGGGGGACCCGGGGCTGAGATCGGCCGGGCTCCCCAGCGACTTGGGCAGCCGATTCGGCGCGGGTGGCCGGGAGTGTCAGCCACCGCAATCTTGCCCTCCCTTACCCAGATTGGTTAAAAAAAAAAAAAAAAAAGCAGAACTCTGTTCCCGCGCCACCCTGCAGGCCCCCCGGTGCCGGCGGGTTGGATCGCCGCGCCGCCCCGCGCCCCATCCGAGCCTGGGACGTCGTGTGGGCCGGCGGGGCTAGGGCCCCGGGGTG